GAAGAGAACCTAGAATTGTAAATAGAAATTTAGAATAACAATAAGAAATAGGCAATGGATCTTTATTATCTCCATCTCCAGCTACTTCTTAAAAGGATATTAAAAAAGAAGTCAAATTATGTGAATCATAAATTAATGAAGATGAATAATAACAATTATCAGAAAGTGATAGTGAAGATTAGGATTAAGAAGAAAGAAAAGATTTATTAGAAATTATAAAAAGAGGAGAAAAATAAGCAGATAACTTTATGAGATCGTTAATATTATGTCAAGATGTTAAAACTAAATATTCTAAACCTTAAAATAAACCAAATAGAGATAAAACTGCTCAAATGATGGGTATTTCTGGACTTATGAGTGAACATCCTAGTATGAATCCTTAAAATTTCTTAAATGAAAATACAGAAGAATATTAGGAATCTGTTATTAAATTTGCAAAGTAATATGAATTTGAATTTAATTGTGCTGGTCTCTTAAACAAAAGAATTTGTTATGAAATTAGTGCTAAAGGTCTTAGTGAAAGATATTTAGTCTATAAAAAAGTTAGTGATAATGAAACATTTGCTATATTTATGAAACCTATTTAATAAAGATTAAGGAATCAAGGTGGTTAATATGATAGATAAGGAACTGAAAGAACTTAAAGAGGAGCTTAATTAAAATTATATGTTAAAAGTGAAAATTTAGGACTTTTAGATAAATGTAAATTATCATAAAAAAAAAGAGTTAATTTAGAAAAATAAATTACACATTAAGCTTAATCTGGTTATAGATTTATAGTTTATGCTGGTAAAGATGTTCCTGAAGAAGCTGTTAAAAATAAAAATAAATATTAAGAAGTAAGTTTTGATACTATGGAAATGACTCATCACGATAAAGAATTAATTAAAGATTTAGACTATTATGGATTAATTTGTTTAAAAGAAGATTAAAATCCAGGAGCTTATGCTTAAGTTAAAACTTTTAAAAATCTAGGTATTTCATAATGGATTTTAAGTGGAGATAAGAAAATGTAAACACTTTCAGCTGCTAATCATGTTGGCATTGTTAATAATAATAATACTTTATTAAGAATTGATGAAGTAGATGAAGAAAAATTAAAATTATAAATTAAATCTTAATTATTATTTATTAGAAAATAATTATTAAAAGAGGATGAAAGTTAATAAAACGAATCAACTAAATCTTTTATAAGTTAAAAATCATTCTCTGAAATGAAAAGAAGTGGAATATCCAAAAAAGCTACCTTTGATGAAAATATGATTTTGAAATCTAAAAAAGGAGAAGAACCTTTGTAAAAAGTATTCTTACTTGTTAATGGTAAGTCCATTAAACCCATTTTTAGTGATGATTATACAAAAAGCCATTTTCTTTTTATAGCTTTGATATTAAAGACTGTAATAGCTTATGATTGTTCACCTGCTGATAAAGAACTAATTACATAAGCAGTAGCTAAAATTATGGAGCCTAGTAATACGCTTTTAACTATTTCAGATTCTGTTGATGATTTTAATATGAATTCACATGCTAATGCTACTATTTAATTCTCAAGAGAAAAAAGATCTTTAAAAATAGCTTATCAAAATATTTAAGTTAATGATTTACAACATATTAAATAATTAGTATTATATTTTGCAAAGATCCTACCTATGCATTTGAGCTAATTGACTGTAATGTGTACAAAAATAAGTTTATATTAATTAATTATATTTACATTATTTGTTTGTGTTAGGAGAACACTTTATATTGAAGAACATGTAGTATACCTTTTGGCACTTTAAATTCATATA